GAGAACCCTAATACAATTGCTTTCCCTCAGTAGTGCCTGTACCTCCTCTGCTGTTCTCCAGCCCCTGATATCCACGGGAACCTCCACTGATGATGAAGAAGTATCTATAACGGTTTGTACAAACCAGTCCATCAGACACTGATTCCCCTTGTATTACCTCAGGTTATGCAGCCTGTGTCTCAAGGAAGGATGGGTGGTTATGTTGCTCAGCTTTTTCTGCTTCTGCAGCACTTAAACTAATTCTATCTGCTCCCGTGTCCTACAGCCTCAGAAGCAAGGTGGTGAGGGGATCCCACTGCTTGTCTGAAAGTCTTCCCTAGTTCTAACAGATCCAGTCCTGAGTATTCTCTGATTAGTGTCTCACACTAGACCATTCATTGTTAAGGCCTCCATCACCATGGATTTTCCTTTTCTTTAAAGGTTGAACCCAAGGGGCAGCTTCAGCTATTTCTAAGTTGCTCCCTTCCTCATCACTATCTGCCTTCTCCATGGGTTCCAACTTTTGGGGTCCTAGGATGAGCCTTGTATTATCCATCTAATATGGGCTCTCTTCCCCTTCTGGCCCCCTAGCCATAAACAATGGCAGGCTAACACCTCTATCTCTTTTATCCAATTTACTGGCAAAGTCAGAGGCCAATAGTGAAGAGGCCAGCCTCACAGTCCTTTCTTACTGCAATTACTTTCTCACACTTCAGTCTCCCTCCAGGTTTCTGACTCCACCTGGGTCAGATCTCTTATTACCCACAGGAGCAGCCAGGCTGCATCTGCAGTTGCTGGCTGATACCTCCACTCCTGGTGAGCTACTCCCAGGACTTGTGATGTCTGCTCTAGACCTTTGGCAGTTCTCAAAGCATCTCCATATTTCTAAGGCAGACCCCACTGGTCAAGCAGTCGTGCCACTCTATTCCAGCAAGAAGACTGCCATCCCAGGATCTCTGCACTGACATTATCTGCTTAGGCGGCCTCACCCTGGTTGTACATCTCACTACCCACCACACTGCCCATGGCACTGCTGCTACCTCCACCAGCCCTATAGAGATAGCCCATGTTAAAATGTCCTCTGCCAACACTCTCCCCTCACTCAGCTTCCCTTCAGTTGGTCTCCTTCCCCATATCTGAGACAACATCATCACTTCCTAAACTCATCTTTGACTCTGTTATATCCTGTCAACTATGCCAAATTGTGACTAAAATTCCTCCTGGGAGGCACAAACAACATTAAGCCCCCCTCCTTCCTTTGTCCCTATGACAAACCTAGGTCCAATTTCACCAAACGACAGTCTGGGAAACCAGTTTATTGGGCTTACTTACAGAGCAATTTGTAAGGGTTTATTTCTATGAACGTGGGAGTACCCCTCCCAGTGCCACACTGGAAAGTCTCCATCTAGTCATGGATCATGACTTCCCCACAACCTAACAAAATGACAATGTTTATATACCCTTTGTTTACACACTCTTAGCCCCTTCCCCTTGTGCAACTATGACTGACTGGTGAGTTGATAGGTGTGGCTGACTCTCCCTGCTCCTCCATTCTTGCTGAGAGAAACTGTCAACAAGCTTAGTTATGACGATCCTAGGCAAGCAAGTGCAACCAAACTTGGGAAGATAGCATCTTTCCATGATCTGGCTGTCAGAGGACAGTGCTATGCAACACCCACAAAGACCCCTAAGTCCAAGGAGCAATCTGTTTTAGGGTAGTTGTATCCTTACTAGGCCAAAGGGGAGCTTGTGAGGCGGAAGGCCTCTCCCCCAAAACCAATCCTTTCTTCATCCACTCAGCACCTACTGGAGCAAGGCATCCAGCTTCAGTGCTCAATGGTGTCTGTCTACACTGCCAAGCCTCCCATTTCAGAGTGGAATGGCCAAGTGTTATGTTCACGTCCGTGTGTACATGTACACAGGCACCTACTTTTCATTGTATTTCAATGCCCTCTAGGCCTCATTGAGACCCACCAGTTTGACTCCTCACCTGCAGCAGAAGTGGATCATCTGGAATGACCTGAGTCCTACACAGCATCCACACTGGATGCCATCACAGGAAGTAAAGATGAGAAGTTTCCTCCCTCCCTGTTTCATGCTCTAGGAAGTAAAGCTGAGAAGTGTGAAAGCTGCAGCTGCCCCAAGAGTTTGAGCTAACAGGCTTTATCTCACCTTTTGTCCCTGTAGCTTACCTATCTGGGAGCACTTAAATTAGGTTGCTGAAGTTTCAGCCAGCATCTTTTCTCTTCATAGGGTAATAGAATGGGTCAGTGGGCGTTTAGTGCCCCACAGGCCTGTGTCTAAGTGTGGCTCTAGATTTCCTGGCCCCACATGGGACAAGGCTAACATATTCAAGCTATGGGACAGATCCACCACACTCCTGTTTGAGAATTCACCAATGTATAAATTACCCATATCCCTTTTCCAAACAGGTCAAATATAGTTGGTTATCACAATGCATACTCTAAGAAAGATGAGAGAAGTTGTGAGTCCCATGAATCATACAGCTGGGCATTTAGGAGCCTATGCTGGAAGGAGGGAAAGGTTTACTTAGTGTGTATGACAAGCCATGCATTGTGATAAAGATCACATCACCTGAGATGCAGCAGCATCTTCATCATACAGGTGAGATAGTTAAAGCAGGCTAAGAACTAGCTGTGCGCATGGAGCTTAGGTTCCAGCCCCTTTACATGATACCAAGTAATCCTGAACCATGTCTTTGAGTGTATTTTCTCGTGCATAAAATGGGGATAATACCTGCCCTGCTGGTTTAAAGAAAAAGGTACCTTCTAAGTGAGGAACCTCATATTGTTCCCGGCTCTTAGGAGTTAGTTACTTCACAATGTTTATGTAACAGTGGTCAAAACATGCCTATGGTCACAAATTCAAATCCTGCTTATCTGATTCTAAGTCTGTTCTCATGGGGAGAGTAGCTGATTCACTTACATTCTTTGAAGTCCAGTTAGGTATAAGCATCAGGCTATCATATGAAGGGCTAACTGTAGAAGCAATGCAGAAATGGCCCAAAAGGAGATGACCATGAGGCTCAGTTTATAAGCATGCCAGAATTTTCTTTCAGAACCAACCAAGGTGGGCTCAGAAAGACTGGAAATCACTGGGAAAAGGAATGATCAAGTGGAGGGGAGGGTAAATTTACCTAACTCTGAAGGAGCCTTCTGGAAAGCCTGGTTCCATGTCAGACACAAAGACACAGACAGACAGACAGACACACACACACACACACACACACACACGTACTTCCTGGTTGCACAACCACACCTCAAATGTAAACTCCTAGCCCCTCACCATCACACACAATACCCTCTCCTCTTCCCACATTCCACTTTGAAGTCACCCTGCCCCTAAAATAGAGCCATCATCTCTAAGTTTTCCCTGGCCGTCTTCCCCCAAAGGATACATTAGGAACAATGCTGGTCATGTTTAGCAGTCAATGAAAAGTTCAAGATGGCACTCAGCAAATAGTTATTTCTACCACCATGCTCAATACCTTGCATTCTGCAAAATCACACTTCAAATAGAACAAAAAGGGGGCTTTGGAGAAGACTACTCAAAATCTATGGAATTTTGTAGACAAGAGTGCTAACAGCAGAATCAAGTCCAACGAGGACATGGACACAGCTAAGTCTCATCCACCTAGCACACTCGTCCCTGACTGCCTTGAATACTAGGCACATCCACTTCCTGAGAGGTAGGCTCTTGGAAACAGAGATCCTCATACAGATCAAAATGAAAAATGTGGTCCAGGAATGGCTCTTTCATCAAATTTTAAAAATCAAGCGGGGGGGGGGGGTATCCTCACAGCTCCCTCTCTCTACTCAGTTTTCCCAGATACCTAACCACATTGGAAAGGCTATTAGGGACTTAAAGCTACTAAACTAGTAACTACTTAAAGGAAGGCACATCTAAATTCTTCAGCTTTTTCTTAAAAGTACTCAATTTTATCTCTGATGATCTCAAAATACTAATGCTCTGAGGGAAATCTCACAGAAACTAGCAGAATTTCAAGTTATCCTGAAACCATTTCTCAACTTACAAATTGCATATATTATTTACCACAAAGAGACAATGTTGTAAGCTGGGCACAAGGCAGTCATGAAGTGTTTGCCTAACATGCACAAAGAAGCCCAAGGCTGGCCCCAGCCCCACAATAAATGAAAACAACCAAGTAAACAAACAATGTAACATGGGATCTTATGCATGTGTATGAAAATTAACCAACATTGCACCCTGGTGATCCCCTGCTGTCTAGGTTAGAGGTGCCATGGTCCTAACAGCAAGAAGAACAGTTCACATACACAACATACTCCAAAGTCCAGATAGTGCACACTGGTCTTATAGCTGTGCCCACAGTTCACTCCAAGAGTTCCCTGACCCTGTGAATGAACACCAGGTAATATTTGATGCAGAAACAGAAATCCCATTTCACAAGCTCACATCAAAAGGGCCAGGCTGTTTGTTGAGAAGTCTGTAGGAGGAAATTAGGAAGTGTGTGATGGATTCCATGACTGCCTTAGCTGGGCAGACAGTGCATCTGAACTGCTTGCACTCTCATGCTCATGTAGCGAATTTATACTCTATATGCCAGGTGCTGGGGATGAATGATGACCCAAGCAACACACTAAACAGCCAAAAGCCCCAGTCTAGAGTCAAGAAGATTCCCCTGGTACCATCAGCCAGCATGACTGACCCACATCATAACTGGACCAACCATGATTCTTCTGCTGGTAGGATGGAGAAAAGATGGACTTGCTTATTTCACTTGACTGTGAAAAATGGGAAAAATGTAATTTCTTTTAAAACATAAAACACTTTCAAAAGGGGGGAGGGGACATTATTTCCTAACCTAGATTTATTATGAAATGTAAAGGGAAAACCACAATGGAAAACAGCTAAGAAACTATATAGAATTAGGTTTTTCTCATGGGTCTAGAAACTTTCTCAAGGCTCTAGGTCGATTCATTTCCTCTGTTCTTTCTTCCTGGGCCCAGTAAGCCAGTTAATTCACTATAAAATAATGCTTTAATTCACTATAAAGAAATACTCCATTCTTAGCTTGAGAAAAATGGAAAGGCTCCTATATAGTCGGCCCACTCTTCACTGGGAAAAGCCAGTTGTCCTCAAAGGGAAAATCAGGGTCCAACACAATGACAACCTCATTTAATTCTCAGAATTTAGTCTGTTGTTTGATAGTTGCTGTAAATGTAGACAATCTACCATGTCCTTGAGGTCCTAACCACTTGACTTGTCTGAGCATCATCCACAGGCAGCTGAGTCCCATCAGAGGTCCAAAAGAAACCTCCTAACCTGAGCCAGGTATTTTGGTTGCAGATAGTCAGCCAGCTCCTCCTTACTGACCCACACATGATGGGCGTTCTTCCCAGCCTGGGAAAAGTCTCCAGTTATCAGCAGGGCTTTGAAGAAGAATACTTTGGCCCCGATGTTACTCTCTGTCCGAATCGCCTTGGGGAACTTGAACTTGTAGTGGCCACAAGGTGCATTTCCTAGGAACTTAGCTTCCATGTTGTTTTCTGAAGTTGGGAGGGAAAAAGCAGAATTGGAAGGTAAGGATACACCCATCTCTTTATTCTGTCCCCTGACCCCCAAATAATAGGCTATCTCTGTAAAAGCCATATAGGTAAAAGGGATCCCTGAGTGTAGTAGAGGGGTATTCCTGAAAAGGCTCCATCCTTCTCAATCCAAATGCTTTCTAAGCCATGGAGATTGGATCATTCCCAGACGTTAGGCTGCCACTTTGGGCCTGGAAGTCAGCAATGTAATTAATACTATCTGGGAGTCACAGCAGCTGGCTTCTGCATTCAGCCTAGTTAGTGACTGATATACAACCACCACATGTAGTATCTGTAAAGCAAAGTTCATCACCTCTAGAACAGGTGTCACAAAAAGGACTTAAATTTGACATTTTTAGGGGACAATGAGGGGTTTGGGGGGTAAAGTCTTACCATGTCAATTAAATAGTCTAGAACCCTCTATGTAGCTCAGGCTGGCTTCAAACTGGTGATCGTCCTGCTTCAATTTCTCAAGTGCTGGGTTCAAAGGCATCCAATCACCACACCCAGGTCAGATTTGACTTTTATAGTGTGCAAACGCCATAAACAAAGTTCAAATAAAGTATCTGAAACCTATAAATAGGGTTAACAACACTAATCTAGCATTTCAAAGAATGGAAAAATAAATAATTAATTACTAAATGGCACTTGAAGAACTAGCTAGCTAAAAGAGAAAACAGCTGAGCCCAACCTCAGACCTCACACCATAACTCGCACCATGGGCCCAATATTTAGCAAAAATTTCAAAGTTTCAGAAAAGGTTCGTTCACTTTGGATGAACAAATTGTTTCATGAGCAATTCATATTTTCCAAATTCTGATGATTTTTTTTAATTTTTTTAAAAAATTAAATAGTATTAGAAGAAAATGTGGTATTTTACATATTACTTTTCATAGTGGACAGCCTTTCCAAACAAGATATTAAATTCAAATAACCAAAAAAAGAAAAGGTTTATATTTGCCCATATAAAAATTAAAACTTTCTACAAGGAAAAATGGAAGTACAAAAATGTTAAAGGCAAAATGATAAATGTGAACAGGATGTGGTGGTGCAGGCCTTAACCCTAGCATGTGGGAAGTAGAGGCAAGAGATCAGCAGTTCAAAGTTACCTCAGCTACACAGTGAGTTCAAGGCCAGCCTGGGCTACATGAGATACTCTCTCAAAGAACAACAATAAAAAAAGATAAACTTACAAAAACATTTTCAGCACATTCAACAGAGGAATGAACTTTTTTTTCTTTTGACAGGGTCTCATTATGTATCCCTAACATCCTACAACTCACTATGTAATCCTGAAACTCACTTTGCCGCCCTAGAGCTGGGATCAAAGACATGTGCCACTATGCCCAGTTTAGGAATAATATCCTAAAATATCAAGAAGCATTTAGGGGCAGGGTATGGTGGTACATGTCTATAATATCAGCACTGTGGAGGCTGAGCTAAGAGGACTACAAGTTCAAGGTCAGACTGGACTACACAGTGAGTTCAAGCCCACCTTGGCTATATAATGAGAGCCTATCTCAAAATAAAATGGAAAATAGGGCCAGGGTTATGGCTTAGTGGGTATAGTCACCTGCCACTAAGTCTGATGATCTAAGCTGGATCACTGGGACCCATATGGTGGAAGGAAAGAACTAACATCTACATGTGTGTTGTATGTGTGCCCACCCCTCGCATATACATAAATACATAAATATGACAAAAAAATTTTTAAAGAGATGAAAAATATTTATGTGCTTGAATATGCACAGAAATTTTCTAAAAGAATGCAAGAAAAAAAAACTGTTAATGAGGCTTATCGCTAAGGAAGAAAATATTTCCTATTTAATACATTTACTGGATATTGATAACTGCTCAGCATATGCATGAATTGTTCTCATATTTTAAAAAACTACTAGCATTAAATGAACTTTTTTTACAATGTGAACACATATAAAATACTACGGTAATGCAGTGAGTATGTGAAGTAGTGGGTTATACTGGAATGTTTCTTTATACTTTCCTGAACTCTCCAAACTTAATTCAATAATGCGTGTTTTTCCATAATCTAGAAAAGATGGATTATATTATCAAGTTAAAAAGGATTAAAAACAGCTCATTACAAACATGAATAAAGGATCTGAACAGGAAGTTCAAAGAATTAAAAAATACAAACAATGAACATATGAAAAGAAGGTCAGTCCTGCTGGTAAAGAGGCAAATACTAATTCTAGAGATCATTTTTACTGACTGCACAGGTACAAACTGAAAAGGGACTATTTCACATATTGGTGAGGTCTAGTGAATAGGCACCATCATAAACTGCTCAAGACATGAGTTATTACATACTATCTGAAAGACAAATGGCAGTGTTCACCAAATCCTTAAGTGTGCATACCTTGGACCCATTAACTCTACCACTAGAAATTCCATCTTGCAGAAGTGTAGAGTCAGAGGGGAAGGAATACACTTTCACTTTTCTTTTTTTTGTTTTCAATTATGTGTATGTGTGTGTCTGAGTGTAGGTTTGTGCATGTGCATGCAGTGTCCTCAGAGGCCAGTAGAGGGCATCAGTTATGCTGACGCTGGAGTAATGAGCTGCTCAACTGAGTACTGGGAACCAAAGTCCATCCTCTGAAAGAACAAGCACTCTTAGTCATTTCTCCAGCCCATATTTTCACTTTCTTATGTATTTATGACATAAGAAGTAGCTGCTCTAAATATATTTGCTACTTTAATCACCTTGCAATAAATATTTGTAATCAATTAAATGTATTATTAAATGTAAATACATCTGTTAATATCATTTTCTATTTCCTTCAACGTTTATTTCTTTAACATTTCAACAGGTATGTTAAAAGAAAAGAAGAATAGTCCTGAGACAGAATCTCTTTCCATAAGGCACAGAGAAGGTAGAGCTAGGCGAATGTCAGGTTTTTACAGATTTGTGTGAGGGAACTTGAGAATAAGCATCCAAAGATCTTGGCACAAAAACCAGCTGCCAAATTCCTTATGGCAGCTGAGACACTGACAGCAGCAACCCTTCCCCCTCCCCATGCCATTTTGCTCTGCTCAATCTCCTGCAGGCCAAAGAAGGCCCTGGTGAGAAAGGGTCAAGGGGCACGCTGACTTCTGTCTGCTTATGCATGTGGCTGGGCCAGTCAAAAGGCTATGCAGCTACACTACCACCCAAGCCATTTACTTAACAAATAGCTGGCAAGTGCTCACTATTGCTAGGTACCTTGCTGAGAGATGAGATCATGAAGAAAAGTTCTGTCCAGACATTCAGGAAACTCAAATTTCTTGCTGGAGCTGAACTGTGTTGATAAACCATTACAGTCCAATGACATAAGTGAAAGAAGGTATTCTCCACTAGAACATAAGCAGGTAGGGAGCACACAAGCCCAATTCATCACTGTGACCCCACAGCCAGAGAGGCCTGGCAAATGGAAGGTACTGGGAGAATATTTGCTATATGCTGTATAAGCTGAGTGTACCCAGGACAAAGGAACACTCTCTCTACCTGGAGGAAGCACTCTGCCTAGAGGGATCTACATGCCCCAAGGCAGAGATGCACTAAAGTCACATTATTCAAGGAACACAAATGCTTTACTAGGTCAGAACTTGGATTATACATTAACAGTAACACAGAAGACTGTTGAGATTAGGACTGGGGCAAAAAGGATTTGGAGGTTATATTTAAGTATTGCTATACTTATGGAAAATGTTTAAGAATTCTATGCAAAAGAGTGACAAGGCATTCTGTTTCAGAAACCTCACATTAGCACCACTGGAGAGTATAAAATAAAGGCAAGGAGGAACATTTTTGGCATCTCCAGTATAGTGTTTCTCAACCACTGTAATTTTGCTCCCCAGGTAATATCTGGCAATGAGTAGAGGCACCGTGGTTGTCATGCTGAGATGGGAACGGGGTAGGAACTGAAGTAGTGCTATGGGCAACTAATGGGTAGAGGCCACAGGTGCTAAGCATCTTGCAATATGCAGAGAACTTCTCACAAAGAATTATCTGGCCCCAAACACTAACAATTCCATAGCTGAAAAAATTCTGGTCTGGTGAAAAGCGAATGGGGCCACATCTAAAACTGTGAGAAGAAAAACGGATTTAGAATAGACCAGGTGAGACTCCAAGACACCTATGTTAGAACAAGATCAAGGATAATGCTGAGGTTTCTAGATGAGTGAATGGATAAGCTATGGTACCAAGAAGCGTGGCTGGGACTAGAACTCAGTAGTAGAGTACTTGCCTAGTGATTACAAGGCCCCAGGTTCAATCCCCAATACTGAATGAAGAAAAAAAGTCCAATTTCGTGAATGTAAGAATTCTGTTTGTATAGTTACGGCCGAGTGGTAAGGATGGACCAGAAATCCAGCTCCTAGTACAGGTTTGAACTCAGCCAACTACAGTTCCTTTCCTTGGAGATAAAAATGTAACTCAGTTGGTACAGTGTTTGCCTAGCATACAGGAGGCTCCGAGTTCAATCCCCAGTACTGTATCAAACTGGGTATGGTGGCACACACATACAATCCCAACATTCAGAAGGTGCGCAAGAAGATCAGAAGTTCAAGGCCACCCTCAGCTACATAAAATAGCAAGATGAATACCACTGTGGGCTACCCACCCCACTCCCCCCAATAAAGAGAAAGAAGAGAAAGGAGGGTGTTGAGGGTGAAGAAAGACAGGAAAGGAGAGGAGAGCAGTGGGAAAGAGTGGTGGAGAAAGGAAGGAAGGGCAGAGGGGAGGAGAGGGCTAGAAATGGTAGACACATCTGTTCTTAAGGTACTAAAATCTCAGTGAGCAAAGATAAGATACTCACCTGTTCTAACGGAAAATCCTTACCTGAATTCTTAATCACAGTATCATTAAACTTCCCATTCCACCTGTATGTCACATCGCACAGTCAACCTGCAATAAGTCTTAAAAGATCTGGAAGGGAGAGAACTCACCTGAGAGTGTAGCCAAGGTTCGCTCAGCAGTCCCTCGGAGGGTTTCCCCAGGCTGCCACTCTACCTGAGGCAGTAACCAAATATCCTGGTCTCCAAGCTTCTCTTTGACTAACAAGACAAGATTGCTGTCTAACTTCCGGTGCAATGAGGCTCGATCATTTTTTTTATCAGCTTCTACAAAGGAGGTCAGAGGAAAGGGGGTAAAAAAGACTGTGATCTGCCAGAATTAAGGAATTTTGAGTTTTAGAATCTTCCTTTAAGGACAAACCCAATCCTGTACCTCTAAGAACTTGTAGCCAGATTATAACCCTAACTTGTTTCTCTAGTTCTGACCTCTTTCAGGATAGAACACCATGTTCTTAAGGAAACTGCAAGGTAAGAACTGGATACTAAACTTCTCTCACTAGTAAACTCTGAGCCTTTGGGAAAGAAGCAACACCCATAACAATTTAAATACAAGACGGCTCTGGGCTCAGTTCCCAACATGCCCCCCAAAAAGTTCAAGCACATTACTCCACTGAATTTAACACTATACTGATCTAACTAACCCCCACTCTCATGTTCTTCAATCTTTACCTGCAAAACAAGGCCAAAAGAACTCAACCCCTGCTTTCAGAGTGATTTCCAATAAAACAGGAACTGGCTTAACTTCTCCCACTTTCTGATCCAGAAGAGGAGTTAAACCCAAATTCCAATCACAAAGTTTAACTGAAAGAGAAAGACTACTCCAACACCTTTTTACTTCCACTCAAAATAGCATAGGTCTTTTAAAAATTTATTACAGAGGCTATAAGGAATAGGGGGGAAAAATTATTTTCCTGAAAGTTGTTTTGTTATTTGAAGCTACTTGTTATTAAAATGCAAAGCAGGGGCTAGGGAACCGTCCTTCATATGGAAATCACAATACCTAACTTTCCTTTCTTTTTGTTGGCCTACAAGGTCACAAACCTGTTACTCGAGCTCCAGGTTTGAACTGTAGGAATGCCTGCTCCCACATATCTTCCAAGTCTTGTACAAGCATAATATCCTGTTCATCTTCATCATCATCATACAGGTCCGCTTTCTTCTTGGCCAGTCGCTGAGCTTCATCAAGAGCACGAAGCTCATGGTCTGAATATAGGCTTTTCTCTATCTCAATCTGGGAATATTAAAAGGAAGAAGAAAAAAGCTACAGGACCCTTAACAGGCTCAGAAGTATATCACTTTATACACTCAGAAATATAATCAAGACACTATATGGAAAGAAAACAGAGACAAAGAAAAAAAAAGACCCACTGGCCTTTAAGCTTCAGTTAAACAAAATGTCAGAATATGATGAGGGGTAAGGACTGCCAGGAAGAACAGAGGGCTGGATAGGCTTGTGGGCCCACTTCCCAAGCTCCAGGCATATCAATCTTTGATTAGCATCTTACCCATCAAGGACTTTCCTGCCTTGGGAACTTTACAGACATTGTCCCTTCTTCCTAGAATGTTTTTCTTCACACTCTTTCTCCCAAATTTCTACTCATCCTTCTGATCTCAATTTAGATAGCACTTTCTTAGAGAGACATTCCTAGACACTTCCAGAAAAATCAAAACTACATGGCCCACTGAAACACTCTTATCTGTGTTTCCTCTATCACACTTACCAAAGTCTGCAGTTAGTTGTATGCTTGGTTACTGACTGCACCCCTCACTCCAATGCACAGAAACTTTCTGGGAACCCGAGCTCTAGGCCTGTCTTATTCACTACTGTATCTCTAATCACTTAACACACTGATACACAGTGTGAGCTATGAAAACCTTTACACTATCTCTCAAGAGTGAATAAATAAATAATAAATAAATAGAGCAAAAAAACCACAGAAGAGATGTTTACACTAGTAGCCCAAGACAAAAACATCGCAGAGTCTAGGGAACTAGCTACAGGGACTTAACACACTGACGGCAACTACACTCGGTGTATTTGCCCATATTTCCTCATTTGCCTTTCACAGAAATCGTCCTGTGAGGTTAAGACGGATAGCTTTACCAAACGCATCTTAAAGTGCCCACTGCTTCTAGAGCTTTCTTCTTCACACTCATCCAATCACAAGGACTTTCCTCTAGTCTGAGTTCCGAAATGACAGGAAGTGATTCCTGTTCACCCCCGATCCCTATTGTTTTGAATAAGAAAGAACGAAAATATCTCCATAGAGTCCCCAAGTGACAACAAAGAACGAGAACAAACTGTTGAACGTTAACTACGTCGTACTAACCCAAATCAACAACGGTACGTCCATCTTGCAGTTGCTACTAAAGTTCAAAGAGGTGAAGTGGTTTTCTCAAGGTCACAGAGTACCTGAGTCGGGGTGGAATCAAGGCCCGCCTGCTGTTACTGCGTTCCTTCTCACCTCTGCCTTACCTGCCGCAGTAGAGCCGCCATCTCTTCCTGCAACGGGGTGAGAGGCTTGGTGACCAGCGGTGGCCGTTGCAGACACAGGGCTCCCAACAAGCGCCATGGGGATCGGTTGCCTGAGGGCGCGGCCTCGAGAACCAGGCCGCGTGAAGCCGAGCTACCTGCCCACAGCCTGTCGAACCGCCGCCGCCAGCCCCCAGCTACCCCTGGCAGAACCCACCTCACTGGCGCCACCATCTTTCTGTCTTCCCACAATGCACCTCGGCTCTCGGCGAGGCGCTCAGCCAACTGTGCCTTCCCAAGAGGCGACTCGGGGCCGCAAGGGGAGGGTTGGCCGAGTAGAACCAACCATTGCAACGGGGAGAATGGGTAAGGTGCTCGTGTCAGACCATTAAGAGAGGGAGAGACTTCATATCGATAGTTTATGGCGCATTTAAATTGAAATAAAAGTGGGTGACGGGCCACACAGAGAGCAGTCAGCTGATTTCCCTTCGGTGAACTTCCCCACAGGCGCACATGGTGCTGGCTCCAGCCGGGCCGGGCTCGGCGGACGGAAGCCGGGGAGGATCAAGTCCAGTCATGCAGGTCGTAAGAAACGCTGGGTCTTGGCTCCTGCGGTCATGGACTGGGCCCGTGACAGCTAGGTAAGGATGAATGCCTTTTCGAGCCCACGGCCACCCCTGGGACCGCGCTCCTGCGTGTGCCACTTGGGCCCCAAGGGCCGTTAGGCCAGTGACTCACAGTGCTTTTCTTCTCGGCAGGGCAGTGGCGGGTGTCCCAGCTCAGACCATCCACACCAACGCCCAGGAGATGGAAGACGCGGCCCCCAAGACGGAAGTTGAAAGGAAGGCGGCTCCGAGCCGCTTCAGGTGAGGGCCACGCGGGACTAGCCCTCTGCAGACTCTCACCCTTATGACTCTGGCCCGCCACCCTCCAGGGTCAAGAACAAGTGAATTCTTTGTCACTTGCCGTCTGTGGGATCCTGTGCAAATCAGTTTTTGAGCCTCTGCAGAGAGGTTGTGAGGGTAGATGAGATGAGCTCTGATACAAAGTAGCTGCTCAGTGAGCGTTTGTTGAATGACTTGAGTGTCAGATGTACATAATACCAGCTTCACCAGGTAGGTTTCACATCAGATTAGCAACTTTTCCCCACCTAGGACACAAATGTCTTGAGGGACTACAGTAAGTGCACGTTTTGGAGTTAGTTAAAGGTCCAGAATGACTTTTGTGCCCAGCCCTGGAACTGGCGTCTTGCTTCCCTGTACCTCTGTATGCAAGCCATATACTTGTCCACTTAACTTCACATCTACTTAACAATTACGGGGAACTTGCTGTGTGCTGAGTACCTTCCTAGGTACTGGAAATAGAAAAGAGTATTCCTCTCCTGCAGTAGTTCACAGTCTTCCAAGGACTGTTTTCTGTATAATCTGCAGTATAATAGAAGTAAGAACTGGCTGAGAAATTGGAAGTGGTATGGCACTCCCAAGGAAGTTTGGCCAGACTGGAGAAGGTAATGTGGAATGCAGAGTGAACTGAATGGGAGTTCATCTGGACAAGATGAGTGTGATCATCACAGGCCAAGGTAACAGTCTGTGGTTTCAAGGGAGGCAGGCAGAAAGAAGGTAGTGTATTCAGGGGTGTGTGGGATGGCAAGTAAGACAAGTGAGGCAAGAAGGATCAGGATAGTTGGCTTGCCCTTCACACTGGAGCTTCCACATGCCCCTACTACAGGCAAGCGAGAAGCTGCTGGTGGGGTTTAAACCAAGATTCTGTTGTAGGTTTTCATTAGGCAGTGCCAGGCACTGTTCAAAATGCTAGAGCTATATCCCTGACCCAACAGAGAAAAAGCCCTGCCCAGATGGTCTCGTGCAGCCCAGACTAGCCTCAAATTCATAATCCTCCTACCTCAGCCTCCTGAGCGCTGGGATTATAAGAGTGTGCCACCATACCCAGCAACCTTGCTTACTTGTTAAAGTCTCTTTAGCCGCTGAATTGGTATTAAGCCATAGGGGGCGAGGATGGATGCTGGCAGACATATTTAAAGCAGTTAGAAGAAAATAGCAATAAATTAGGTAAAAGTGACAGGATCTGGACTGGGTAATAGTTGATCCATTTTGCTGGTATAGCCAGCAGGATTTGGTTTTGGTTGGTTGGTTGGTTGGTTGGATGGATGGTTGGTTTTGAGACAAGGTTTCATTCAATGACTTAGGCTGGCCTGGAATTTGTGGCAGTCCTCCTGCCTTAGCCTCTGAGTATCAAAATTATAAGCATGCATCAACATATCCAGCTTACTATAAAGTATGAGGAAAAAGAGAAGTAAAGGAAAAGTCAGATTTTTGGGCTAAACAAGTAAACTACAGAATCCTTATGTATTGTGATAGCAGAGACTGAAGGAGTTTAGATCTGGTGGTTAAGTCTGAGATGCCTTAAAAGGCATGAAAATGGCCTTGCATAACCCTGAATAATAAAAGAAAAAATGTCGATGCCTAACATGTAAGTGGAGATATAATATAGATAGAGATTTGGGAAATAAGAAAGACCCTTAAGACAGGTAGTAGGAAAACCAGGCAAGACTTTCTTGTTTTTTAGTGTGTTTCAAAGTAGAAAGATGGACTATGTTAGATACTGAGATAAGATGACTTGACAGGCAGATGGCAAGATTGCTCATTGAATTTAACAGTGTAGAGTCTTGACAGAACATTTCTGATTGAGTGGAAAGCGATAAGATCTGGTTGGAGTGGGTTCAAAGAGACTAAAAGACAGAAGAAGCAAGTAAAGTCATCCCCTTGAGGAGGCTTTGAGAGAATCGGGAGATGAGGCGCTCATGGGAACTTTGGGCTCAAGAGGTTAAGGGAGGTATTTGCTCTTCGTTTTTTGTATTTAGGAAATGACAGTATGTTTTGCTGCTAGGAACCATGGGAAAGAGTGATGATGCTGAAAATGGGAGCATTGCTGGAGCAGTGTCCTTGTGGGTTAGTACACAACTGGAACATTGTAACCAGAGAGATCTCAAAGGCTAGGGGCACAGATGTTTGGCAGTAGAAGCAGGAACCAATTCTGATTGCTTCTATTTCCCTGTAGAGGTCCTCAGCTGGTATTGAGGAAGCAGGAAGGAGCTGAAGTTTAAGGAAACAAAGTATTGAAGAGGCATCCAGGAGAACAGAAGGATAATTGAGCTGAGGCTGATTTCCAGGCGTCCTCAGAACCTACTTGATGCTGGAAATAATTAAAAATAGAACAGTAATTCTCAGCAGGGACCAACTTTACCCCACAGGGGAAATTTAGCAGTGTTTAAAGACCTCTGATGGTCATAAATTAGGAGATAATACCCAGTGAATTAAGGCTAGGGATGCTACCAAGCACCCCACAGTTCATAGGAGAGCCTCCTACAACAATGTCTTATCCAAAATGTCAGTAAGACTGAGGTGGAGCCCTGATGATGTAGAGAGACCAGTAGCCTTGAAATATTTCCACAGGCTCAGGAGAGATGGATTTAGCAAGGGCTGGGAGTTTCCTGGGAGAATGTGATCAAGCAAGACAGACGATTGAGGCTAGCCGTGGGATTTAGTCCAGGTGAGGAGAGAAGACTCGAGGCATGTGAGCAGTAATAGAGAGCTAATGGGCTCATCAGACTGCAAGCCCTGTGGGATTGAAGGGTACCTGGAGTGAAGATAGCAAGGAAGCCAGGGGGTGGTAACCAGAAAGCTTGAGGCCAAGGTTATAGTACATGTACTGGTAATAATAAAGGCTGGGTCTGATCCCAGGAAATAAGTAGCCAATGACCATTGAAGGAAAGGATGTTTAGAAACAAAAGCCCAGAGCTTAGAGAGAGCTTACTAAAATCAGCAGTTTCATAGATGTAGTGCCAAGGGATCATGAGTCCCAGCCATAGTCTTGTATTTTTCTGCACTTATTTGCATTTAAAAAATTGTTTCTAGCCACAATTAGAAAATAGTTTGCTTCTCCACACCTCCCTGGTGTGAAGGCAGGTAGAAAAACAAGTGCCAGAAAACATTGACCTTTTTAGGCCTTCCTTGGGTGAAAACCATTGCTGCTTTTTTTTTTTTTTTTAATTTTTTATTTTATGTGTATGAGTGTATCGCTTGCATGTATGTGAGCGCACCCGTGTCCTGCAGTGCCATGGAGGTCAGAAGAGGGCTTTGGATTCCCCTGGAACTAGAGTGAAGGACGATTCGTAGCCACCATGTAGGTACTGGGAATCGAGCCCCAGTCCTCTGCAAGAGCAATCAGTGCTCTTAACCACTGAGCCATCTCTCCAGCCCAGACCATTGCTTCTTGATACACTGAACCTGGAAGAATATTTTTTTGTTTTGTTGGTTTTTGAGACTGGCTCTTGCTACGTAGCCCAGGATGGCAAGGAACTCTATATAATCCTACCTGGCCTTGAACACATGGTGATCATTTTAGCTGGGATTAGAGGCATGCACTACACACCCAGCTGAACCTCAAAGTTTTAAGGCCTCATCTTGACCACGTCTTTGTCTTTGATTAAATGGCTGAAGCTAGGGCTGGAGAGATGGCTCAGCTGTTAAGAACAACACTGGTTGTTCTTGCAAAAGACCCGGGTTCAAATCCCAGCACCCACATGGCAGCTAACTCCAGTCCCAGGGGATCCAACAGCCTCTTCGGACCTCTGAGGGTATTACACAACATAGGTGCACTTACCTACATGGAGGCAATACACACATACACATAAAATAAAAAAATAAAATTTAAATGGCTGAAGCTTAGAGTTTCAAAATCTTACATTGTGTAGACTCAGACCTGTGTTTGTTGACTCCCAAGTAAACAGGAAATTATCAGTAGGGAAATAATCATCATTAAAACATGTCGTCTTCAGGCTTGGACACTTTCCTTCTTGGAATGTGCCCTGATATACCAATGACCTGTTGAGGTTCTATGTCATAGATCAGGCCACCAGGAAAGAGAGGGCACTATGTTTTTGTTTTGTTTTTGAAAATATCTCTAGAAAAAAAGATGTGTCTGGGAGTGCTCAGATTATAGCATGTTTTCTAAAATGGATTTCAGCATATTAGAAATACCTTGGCTGTGTGGGTATAAAATTTGAATCTGATTTAGGTATGTAGGCATGGTGGAACAACAAGTTAACTTCCATCTGAAATGCTGAGTGACAGATAATGTTTACTTTATTATTGTTGTTATTATTATTATTATTGGTCATTTTGAGACAAGGTCTCCCTGTAGCTCCAGCTGTCCTGGAACTCACTATGTAGACCAGGCTGGCCTTGAACTCCGCAGTCCTGGGATTACAGGTGTGCACCACCACAATGCCTACTTCTGCCTCCTGAGTGCTGGGACTAAAGGCATGCGCTACCACACCCAGCGCAATGTTTACATTTTTCAAGAGCAAAGCTCAGGACTAGAGCAGTGGCTCATGGGTTGAGCACTTGCTGCTTGCTGCTTTTATAAAGGGCCCAGGTTCAGTTCCAGTGTCCACATGGTAACTCACTGCCATCTGCAACTCCAGTTTCAGGGGATTCGAAACCCTCAGTGCACATACATGCAGGCAAAAATACACATAAAAAATAAAAATTAGGGGCTGGAGAGATGATTCAAAAGTTAAGAGCACTGACTGCTCTTGTAGAGGACCCAGGTTCTATTCCCAGCACTCACATGGTAGCTAACGACCATCTGTAACTCCAGTTCCAGGGGAATCCAGTGCCTTCTTCTGACCTCCACAGGCATTGCATGACACGGTTGCACTTACATACATGCAGGCAATACACTCATACACATAAAATAAAAATAATAAATATAAAGAATAAAAATAAATCTTTAAAGAGCAGAGCTGAGACCTAAGGCCTAGCTTCCTCGCTCACTAGCCCTATGCCTGTTCAGACTTGAGTTTTTCTTCCTGAAAATGAAGAGTACTCCCCCAAGGAAGGCCAGAAAATAGACTAAGACTGAATGATCTTGAATACAATACAGTGTCTAGCCCAGCATTCCCAGAAGCTTTGGGAAGGAATGGTGAAGGCAGCTGCCCCAGAGTCAAGGGCTCTTACCTTTCATTCTGGGTTGTCTGTGCTGTTTGATCACTGATTGGTTTTTGTTTTGTTTCGGGGGTGGGCTTCTTTTGGGGAGGTTCAGGGAGGAGACAAGAGTCTTGCTATATAGCCTAAGCTGTGTGTATCCCAGGTTGGCCTTGAACTCCGCAGTCCTGGGATCACAGGTGTGCACCACCACAATGAACCAATTTTATCTTGTTTTAACTACATGTGTATTGCTTTGATTGTTTTTAAAATAAAATGTTTCTTCTAATTGCAGCATTTACCCCCCAGTTCCAGGACAAGAAGGCTCTCTACGCTGGGCAGGAATGAAATTTGAAGAGGTTCCAATTGCACACATTAAAGCAACTAACAACAAGTGAGAAGGGAAGGGAAGATCCCCGGCCAGTCTCTTGCGAGTTTCTTCTGCCTCAGCCCTTCTTGCAGTAGAAATCAATGTCAGATGCTAGCTTCCTCTTGTTTGGGGGAAACACCTCTGTCTTTATAAAGTTTACTTGAGTTTCAGGAGCTAGAGAGTTGACTTAGTGATTAAGATCACTTGCTCACTTGCTGCTCTTACAGAGAACCCAGGTTTGGTTTCCAGCACCCACATAGTGGCTAACAGTCATGTGTAATTCCATTTCCAGGGTACCTATTGCTCTCTTCTGGCCTCTGGAAACCAGGCATGCACATGGTATGCATGCATACCTGCAGGCAAAACACTCATAAAAAAGAAAAAAAAATTAAAAGTTTAAGTTTCATGGAAAGGTGAAATGGATTGAGTATGTTGTATTTATAAGGTTTTTCTGCCTTGGGATTCCTATGCAAGAGTTAGAAGGACTAGATTAGAAACAAATGGTCTTGTCATAAAGGTATTTGTTAAGTGCTGCTGAGTTCTGGGGGACTGGGGGTGATACATAAGAGGAAAGAAGCAATCTGCAAATACATGATTTGTTAATAAACTAGACTATAAACCTCCAAATAAGTGCCAGCCTTCTAACATACTCAACAACATACTCTAACATAACTCACTCAAGGCCCCTGGATGCTGCCTCCTGCCTTGTAGGGCTAAAAAGGGAATGGTGAAGTAAAACAGCAAGACTAGTGCTTTTGTGTGACCTGTGCACAGATGTATAGGGGGCTCCCAGCCAGCCATGTGCTGGCTGCCAGAAGCATTGGTGGCAACTTTATAGGTTGGTCCCCACTTAGAAGTGGGATCTATATTTGGTCACAGTCTGTCTGCCACACCATTTCGAGTACAACACAAGGGACTGTAGTCATGGCCTAGAGTGTAGCACAGATGACACACTGGCATCCACATCAGCATCTCTCTTCCCCTCTTAAGCTAATTCAGATATAGGTTCTATGCTTTCTGTTTGTTTTTATGTCTGTATGTATGTTTTCCATACACCCCGTATCAAAAGCTACCATCTTCTGTTTCTGTTCAGTGTAGGAAATGCAAGAAGCCTTAGGGGAGGGATGACAACCATAACCAGACCAACGGGCAGGAGGACCCAGCCCGGGGCTGACTCCAGTAGGTCTCATACAGTTACCCTCCCCTTCCCATGAGCTCCCAGAAAGCTCTGCACACCAGAAATTGGGGTGATGATAACCAAAGGGGAAATAAAAAGCATGCCTTTGGATTTTCTTAAAGTCATTAATTATAATTCAGCCTTTCAAAAAATTTTTTCTTTATTATTTCTATTTTATGTGTATGAGTGTATTGCCAGCATGTGTATAAGTGCACCCATGTCGTGCAGTGCTAGCAGAGGTCAGAACAACATCAGATCCCCTGGAACTGGATTTACGGACAGTTGTTAACCTTCATATGGGTACTGGGAATCGAACCTGCATCCTCAGCAAGAGCACTCAGTGCTCTTAACCACTGGGCCATCTCTCTATCCCCTAATTCAGCTACTTAAAGCTAATTAGAAAACCTTCGTGTGTTTAAAATAATTTTGATCATGGAATAGAATGTCATAAGCATTTCAATTACTGTGATAATATTGCTCATGATAATGGTCTTGTGGAATTTTTTATGAGCATCTTTTTGAGAGAGACATTCAAGTACTTACATCTGAAATGATAGGTCTTAGATCTACTTCTGAACTGTCTGTTGAGGGGAATGGGAAAAGCGTTTAGACACACACTGCATAAGACAGGAGCTAGTCCTTATTGAAGCAGAGTAACAGGTGTCTAGGAATTCATATACTGTTTTTCTTTCTTTTAATTTTTTGTTTCATTTTTATGTACTTGGAGGTGGGGCACACCCATACCACAGCCTGTGTGGAGGTTAGAGGACAACTTGCATTTCTCTCCTTTCACCTGTGGGTCCTGAGATTTGAACTTGGGTCATCAAGCTTGGTAACCTTTACCACCATCTTGCCAGTCCTCAACACACTGTTCTTTTTACTGTTATAGGGAGGATATTTGAAAGTTTTCTGATGTCCAGTCTTTTTTTTTTAATTACCTAATATGAAACATAGATTTTTAGAAAAATGCAGAGAAGGCTATTATCTCTAATATGACTGCTGCTTCAGGGAAGATGTTAGGTGGAAATGTGCCGTTTCTTCTGGTGATGCTTTCCTTTCCTACCAGGGTCATGGCACTCCCTGTAGAGTAGTTAACTCATTGGTCTTCCAAGGGACTTGAGGAAGCAAGTGACTCTATCCTTTCTCACTCATGCTTCTAAGGGCCTGAGCTAGCTCCCTTCCTTCCCTGAGCAGAACTATAGCTATATATCTCCCCCTCTTTTCCCAGCACACAGATCCAGGTAGTCTCTACCACTAATGTGCCCCTGGCTCGGGCCTCCTGTGGCACGGAAGGTTTTCGAAATGCCAAGAAAGGCACTGGCATCGCAGCCCAGACAGCAGGCATAGCAGCAGCAGCGGTGAGTACCTGGGCTTTGCGGTGCCCTCTGGTATGTTCTGCTCTCTCTGTGGCTGATGGTGTAGAATTCTCACTAAACCAGACATTCAGAAGCAATGAAATATTCACCAGCCTGTGTTAGATGCCCTGACCCTGCAGCTGCTTGAAGAGGCCTGTGTGGTAAGGTTGTCTTCTTTCTCACTTCATGGAGAAGAAAGGTTGGTTTGTTTTCAGGGGAAGACCATATTACTGAAAGCTTAGAAATAAAGCCCCTTCAATTGAAGGGTCAGTGGGATGGTGTAGGGGTGATAATATTCCCTTCAAGGAGTATGTCTTACAATGAGGACTCTTCTAGCACAAGTTCCCGTGAGAAGTGCTACAAACCTTTCGAGAAACCAATTAAGCAACTGTATTTCAGACATTTCACACTGATTATCATGAATCTTTGGAAGACCCCCACTATTGTCTACTGTTTCAAGAGCCAGTTGAGAATCAATGTGTATGATTGGTGGGAGCCAGGCAGCTAGTTCAGCTCCCTGGTGTGGACTCAGAATAGGCTTGGACCAGAGCCTGCATGCTTTCTACAGTAGAGACCTCACAAATGTGCGTACTCTGCCACGCAGGTATTTCCTGAAGGAAAACTGGCCTTCAGGCAAAGCTAGACATCCAAGATACATTGATTGCTGTAGTAATGATCATCAAAAATCATAATGATGTAATTACCCAAGGGGCAGGTGGTGTTCATTTAAAAGAGACATGTCAGTATTTGCAGTGACTTCTCTACAGTAGGTTATGAGTGACTTCTGGGTATATTCTAGGCTCCTTAATGAACTGCATTTATAATCAGGATACAAATTTAATTCTAAAGATGCCAAGTTACACTTTATTGATGGTATTTAGGTCCAGCCTTGACATCCTGAGTGGCACCTTATGCTCTGAAATTCTGCATTTTCTGAGGACAACCCGAGCGCTATCTAGAAGTGTCCATTAGGTGGCAGTGCTGTCCTGTCATTTAGGTTCTTGGCACTCTGATCCCTGGTTTGTACTGGTGTCTCATCTACTATAGCCATCTGTCCTTTGCTTCCTCCTATGTCTCCTGTCTCCCTGTTTTCTTCTGCTGGTTCCCTCTTCTGGAGGAAGTAACAAGAGACTGGGGGGAAGCCATTCTGTTTCAGGGGCACTGACCACTTGCCTCTTCTCTTCAGAAGGCGACAGGGAAGGGAGTGACCCACATCCGAGTTGTAGTGAAAGGCCTGGGACCAGGACGCTGGGTAAGTGACTGTGGTTCTCCATAGTATGTGCACATTCCTCTTAGACCAAGTGTGGGGAGAGTGGAAACGTCCCTTTTACTGGATTTCCGTGACATGAATTGGAGTTGCTTTCTCTTGTTCCTATAATCTACCAAGCCCTTCAGAGCAAGCCTAAATCACATACTTTAATTCATCATCCCCTTGAGTGTCTGCTCTGTGCCAGCCCTTGGGATTGGGAGGTGGTTGCTTGAGGACCCTTACAGGCAGATCCTCCTAAGATTACAGTGGAGAAGTGTGAGCCAAGATGCTGGGTGCTTTGTAGGGAGAGGAAGGAGACATCCTCAGCCCAGCAGGGATGTGGCTTCCCCAAGGAGGTGACTTCTCATCTAACTTTGCAAGAATGAGGCATTAAGGTGTGAGTATGTGTGTCCTAGGGAGAGGAAAATGCTCATGTAAAGCTATTGGAGTGCCAGGGTCAAATCTGTTCTCAGATTGTAAAGTGCAAGGTGGAGAAGCAGGTGCTTAGAATTATAGGTATCAGCTGGTGAACCTCCCTGCTCCCTTCCTGCCACTTCCCTCTTGGGCCCTCTATGGAAATGCTGAGTCATAAATTTGGGGACTGCTCTTCACTTGTTTCTGATCCCTCCAGTCTGCCATCAAGGGACTGACCATGGGGGGCCTGGAAGTGATCTCAATCACAGACAACACCCCTGTCCCACACAATGGCTGTCGCCCCAAGAAGGTTCGGAGGCTGTGATGGGAAGCCTGTACTTGAACCTGACCTCGTCTCAACTCCAGGTGGACCGTGCAGAAAGCTGACTGTGAGAGCTGCAGAGCTGGCAGCTCCCAAGCCCTCCTTAGGGGAGCTTCACCTTTGCTTGTACCTCTGCCCAGAGCAGGAGGTCCCCACAAAGAAGGTGGCCTCACTTGGACATGAGGGGGTGGGAGCTGCAGCCACAGCTATGGCCCCACACCAGCCTCTGCTCTGTAAAAATAAAAGACTCTATTCTCTGTAGTAGCAGTGAGTTTTTGCTCCCAGTGTTAACAAACAGCAGTCCCCACTTCTGAAAGGTTGTGAATGAAAGTGCAACCCTAACTGGGAGGATTACAGTGCAGGTGTGGGCTGCAGGCCACCTTCCACCTTCTTTGGTTTCAAATTGCTCTTAAAGCCCCTCAGCCAAGGCGTCCAGATCTCATCACAGCAACTGTTCTTACCAGTGACTCGGAATTTGACCCAAGTAGGGTCAGAGCTTTTTATCATCCTCTCGATTCTGTTAGATTTTACAGCTAGTAGGCAGACTTGAAGTTAGCCCTAGCAATGTGAGAAGGTGTTCCAAAGTTCAGATTTTCTGGGAGTTTGTATCTTGTATACTCCATGGACTTTGGCAGTCCCAGAACCCAAGAGGGAGTGTCTCAAAAACAAGGCTGGAATTTAATTTTCCAGAAACCAGGGTCGAAGGGAGAACATAAATCAGGAAGTACAATGGCGCACACAGGTTGCACAGTTTAGAATCCCCAGGGAGGGCTGATAGCCCCTCAGTCAGGGTTATGGCCCCAAAGCCAAAGGTGAGGGCTTTAGAGGCACAGCAGGGGAGACCCTTCTTCCTCAGGCAGAACACCAAGAGGGAACATCACAGAAGCTGAAAAAGACCCGCCCAGTACACAGCACCACTCCTCCCAGACAAGGCTGCAAGAAGGACCTGCTGGGGAGGGTGCTTCAGCCCTGCTGGCCACACCCTAAGCCTCCTGATTACAGTGTAGTGAGATTCACAACTGCTCCTCAGGCGCAAGGGGCTGTTAGAGCTGGAGAAAGGGCAAGACCATGAACTTGGAATTTAGAAGGACAACTGTCTCCCAGGTGCCTTTTAATCCTTAGGACCTGTGAAGGGTCTGAGACCAGTGGCTAAAGCCCAGATGGAGGCTTCAAGTGGACAGAGGGCCTGATGCTATTGGGCATATCTCAAGCAAGAAACAGTTAAAAAGTTTAGGAGAAAACCTTAGTGAAGCTTCTTTACAGAGGATGAGGCAGGGTCAAGGGAAGGAATGAAGAGGGCAGGGCTAGACACCCATGACTGGTGGGAAGATGAAGTTGAATGAAGAAACAGTCACCAGAACCTAGAAGAATCCTGGCCAAGGAGGTAGGTACCTCACAGGAGCTGTGGCCACAGAGACAGGCTCTCCCAAAGTTATGACCTAGAGGGAAAATAAGTTCCCTGACAGCTTTCCCCAGTGGGCACCAGCGCTGAAGCCAACAGGTAGCAAGACTGCAGTGGACTGGCTGGAGAGATGGCTCAGCAGGGAAAAGCACTCGTTGTTCTTGAAGATGACCCGGGTTCAGTTCCCAACACCCATATGGTGGCTAACAACCATCTATAACTCCAGTTCCTAGGAATCCGACACCCTCTTCTGGCCTCTGTGGTCATTGCACAACACAGGCAATACACTCATACACATAAAATAAAAATAGTAAAATATTTTTAAAGGCAGTGGAGCCCCCAGTAGTATGGTCCTTGGTAGCTGGAGGGGCCCATGGCAAATAGCAAGTACAGATGTCTTCCTGAAATGAAATCCTCCATAGTCCATTCTTTCAGAAAGTGTTACTCATTTAGCTGGGTGTGGTGGCACTTGTCTATAATCCTAACAGGAGGGGTGGAGGCAGGAAGGTCAGTGGTTCAAGGTCATCCTTAGGGAGTTTGAGGCCAGTCTGGGATGTGACATGGGGCATTGTCTCAAAACAACAAAAATGTTACTATCAAGGAGGCTTGAAAAAAGATCCAGCCCAATGGATCCTACAGTACAGAAATAAATGCCTAGCACATACCTAGCCTCAGATGTCTGCATGTATAGACCATCCTTTTTAAAGCTTTATCAGGAAAGCCACACAGCTTTATTGTCACGTGCTGTTGGTACACACTGGTTTCCAGCCTCTTCAGCCAACAAAATTCTCTTTCCCTATATTATCTCTTAGTCATTCTATCTTGGCTTCTCAAAGGCTGGTATCTACCCCCTGTGGAAACTAAGGCATCCTCACTGAAGACTGGCCAATCAAGGCAGTTTTTACTGTCTTAACATACTGGACTTTTGCCATGGCCCTTCTCAGGAGTAGGTGCTGCCCAGAGGAAACAGTGGGCTCTGAACTCTGAAAGTTGGTATAATTGTTGGCATTGGCCTGACAGGCCTTAAGTACCTTCTGTGGTGGCATGTACAATTTTGCTCCTAAAACCAATGACACAGGACTGGCTATGTAAGGGACTCCTTTCCTCTCCTGTGTACACAAAGAAAAATGTGATTTTTTTTTTTTCCTTTCAGCATAGACGCAATGTTTTTGCTTTTCCCAGCCAAGGCCATTACCTGTCACTGAGATACAGTCTGTGCCAAAGGAAATCTATTTAACACTAGTGTCCCTGAATGCTAGCAGAATATCACTCTGTACTTTAGGAGAACCCATATCCCAATTACATCTGCCCACAACCTGGTTCTGACATGTCCTTTTTAAAAAGAAATGCATGTATACCCTCCCCCTCCACGATCCCTTTTTTCTTTCTCTATTCTTTGTTTTGCTGCTTTGAAACGGGCTCATAAAGTCCAGGCCAGCCTATGTAGCTGAAGATGACACTGAACTCCTGTCCTGCCTTCATCTCCCAAGTGCCTGGTTGCTGATATGTATGTACCACCATGCCCAGCTTTCTTAGTCTCCCCGCCACCCCTTGCCTATTTGGAAAGACAGGTTGCTATTTAAATTTGAGTGTTATCACCCCAAGGTGATGGAGTGATCACTCCAATTTGCTTTTGCTGAAAACAGAAACTGTCCACTTAACCAAATTGGACCACCATAGGTTCTTCCACAAAACACAGAAGTTGGGCACAGGGGGCACAGAGGTCTGGGGTGGTCACTGCTCTCCTGAGCCTCACAGTCTGAGGAGGCTAGACATGGATATGGCAGAATCACAATGACATTCCATGAAAAAGGCATACATGTTACTGATGTTTGTAGAAGTGATCCCCTTAAGGGAATAGAAGGGAAAGCTTGAAGATGAGATGGCACTGGCGACAGGCAGAGGGGTCTGTGCATGTCACTAGGACCTGAAAGTGATTCAAGGCAGTAAAGGCAGGTGTGAAAGTTCATCAGTTCACTGTTACAGCCTCGTTGTCCTGGGGGGGTCTTGGGATTCAGATTGGATAAGGGGGTATATGGATTCAAAGCAGTCAAGGCAGGTGTGAAAGTTCATCAGTTCACTGTTACAGCCTCATTGTCCTAGGGGGTCTTGGGATTCAGATTGGATAAGGGGGTATATGGATAAGGTCAAAGCTTGACAAAATAAAAATAAAAATACCTTATAGTCACACCAAGACAAGACAGGTTCAGCTGATGTGATGCGGGGCGGGGGGAGGGAGGCAGTATGTAGAAGACTATGACCAGAAAGGAACTTCAGAGTCAGATCTTAAGAATAGGAGGTGAGATTGGCTACATAGTGTCTAAAATAGAGTTGAACCAAAAGTGAATGAAGCAATTATGAGATATGAACCAAGAAAATATTATGAGATATGAGCCATGGGACTTAATGAAGTCCTATGGCTGTTAGGGAAGGAAAAGAGTCTGTGAGGTTTGGAGTTCTTGAAAGCATAAACAAACTTGGACGGCCTCGAATCTAGGAAGAAATATGTGACTTTAGAAAGGGAAGAAAGGCTGGAAAGATGGCTCAGTGGTTAATAGCACTGACTGCTCTTGGAGAGGACCCAGGTTCAGTTCCCAGTACCCACATAGCAGCTAACAACCATCCATAACTGGTGTTCCAGGGAATCTGATGCCCTCTTCTGGCCTCCACAGGCACTGCATGACATAAAAGGAAAGAAAAGATAGTAGGAACTTCAAAAGAGATGGACTGTCGTGTGCAGGTGGCAGAAAGCACAATGTGTGGAAGGCAATGGGGGAGTCAGGAAGAGATGCAGCAGTCCCTGGTCCCTGGGGACAGGTGGGGTTATAGTGCAAGGTGAGGGAAAAGAAAGCTTGTCAGGGAGATGATGGTGATGGGAGGCTGTCTCTTCCCAACAGGATGAATGGGCATGTCAGGACCACGGAAGATAGGAGGGGAGGGCGAGAGTGGAGAAGAGTGCAGGCTATGGGCTGGGGCAGGATACCCTGGTAATGAGAGGCGGGGATGCTGAAAAGAGGCAGATGAAGAGCTGGCCAGTACAGGAAGGGCTGGGGCCAGAACTCTGCCTGGGGCAAGATCTGGATTGAAATTTAATACTCAATATCTACTCTGCTACTAACCCACCTTAATAAGGGAAGATATGCAGAAGACCACTCAGTCTAGCAAGTAGTCTGTTAACTGTCATCCTCCCAATGCAGACATGCTAATCAAAGCCACCGTGTACCCAAGCTTTAGAGCAAAATCCTGGGCTCTGGCAACCCCAGAGTCCACTGAAGTTCCCTGCTACACTAATTAAAGAAACTAGTAATGGTAAAGAGCACAGAAAGGAGATTTATCTCATATGATTACATTGAGAAGAACAAATAAAAGGGGTCCAGTGAATCCCAAGTCCTTTAGCATATTGAAATGAGCTTTAGATTTAAGTAGAAAACGAACTGGAACAAGGGGCAAGAGGTGTGCACAGGAGTCTCACCAAG